AATCCAGAAGCACTGTGGGATCTTTTTCAGTTGCCTGGGTACAATTATTTTTGGTTCTCTCGACAGTATTCTACTAGAGGGGGGCTCGTAGTTTACGTAAAAATGGAATAGCTCGTTTCAGGACAGGAAGTGGCTTTCAATTACGTACAATTATTTTTCTTTAAAAATCAAGAACTCCTGTCACTCCCTTTCTCTCTTAGCCTGTTATAGGCCCCCGTCCAAAACCGTCAGACAATTTTTTTCAGTAACTCTCGCGGATCCTAGCCGCGAGTTACAGTCAGGGGTTACTTTTCATCGTAGGCGATATAAACATAGATTTGCTGAAAGATGACAAGTCTGAGGTTTGTGACTACCTTAACGCACTTGCTAGTGCGGGTATCGAAAGTACTATTGGTTCCCGAGCAAGGGAGAAATTTATGGCTGGAAGGCTGGTATCTTCGTGTATCGACCATATTCTGGTTAGGACTCTAGACCCAACGGTGAGGTCGGCAGTAATTTTGCAAAAGCTAGCTGACCACCTCTTCGTTGGATGCCAAATGGTTTGGCAGCGCACGTAAGGATGTGCCAACATCACTCGACAAACTTTAGAAATTTTCGATAGGCAAATTATGGATTCACTGGCGTCGCCTTATGACTGGAGCTCGTTTCTCAAAACGGTGTCGTATTCTGATGTTTACCAAAAATTTGTTGTTCTCCACGACTCTTTCAAGACAAAGGCTCGGCGAAACGTTGTAGTGAGAAAACCGTAAGCCAGATTGCGTTCAGTTAAGCGCAGATATTCTGTCTGCAATCGCGGAAAAAGAAAGGTTATGGGTGCGTTGTAGGCGATCACCTGCAAATGCTCAACTGCGCGGATTCTTTCGTGCAACCAGAAACAAAGTTAATTCCCTTGTTCGCTCCGCTAAAAGGATCTACTTCCAAAAAGAGTTTTCAAAAAATCGTTTTAATATCGCAAGAACCTGGCCCCTTGCAAACGGACTTCGAGGATGCCACCGCCAGCGCTCCCTTGATGACGTCATAGTTAAGAACTTTGGTGACGATACTAAGAAGACAGTGGGAAATTTAACACCTTTTTTTCTGCGTCATCCGAGCAAACAGTTAGTGGGAGCGTGCAGGAATTAACCTTGAAGAATACGGATTGTGCGTCCGCTTTTCTTTAGGAGATTGATGAAGGTTTGCGTTCTGCCGTGTTCAGTATTAAGTGGATCACATCACCAGGCCCTGACGCATTTACTATTGGTTTTCTACAAAAGAACTTTGATTCGTTAAAACATGTGCTGCCTTATATGCTCAACGGTTTCATTCAAACATGTTCGATTCCCGAAGCGTTGAAGGTTGCTACTGTTGGATCGATTTCCAAGGGGGGTTAATCAAAAGTAATCGAAAAGTACCGCCCAATATCTATTCTGCCTGTTTTAGGGCACTTGCTCGAAAAGCATCTCTTTGCGGTGATAAATAGTTTTCTGGACCACCACCCCATAAAGTCAGCATCGCAGTATGCTTTCGTGCCTGGAAAGGGCACGCAATTGTTACTAGGTGACGTCGCCGATTTTTTTATCTCCGCGTTTGATGACAATATGTTTTCTTTTGCGCTGTTCCTAGACGTTGCAAAAAGCCTTCGACACCGTCAACTATGATATATTGCTGCGTAAATTGCCTAAGATCGGGTTTCATGGAAAATTTTCGCACTTCTGACACATTTTCCATCAAATCGACCACAACGAGATCGAGTGGGCAATGGAACAAGCTCCGTTTAGTATCTACGAGCGGGGGTTCCCCAAGGCTTTGGGTTATCGCCGCTACTGTTCAATATTTATGTCAACAACCTTATCTCTGTTATTTCAGGTCGTGAATATTATCAATATGCCGACAACATTCTGCTTATTTCCAAACATGTGAATTTCGACAGTCATGTGATAATTTGCAGACCAATGCCAGTAGAGTGGTGGACTGGTACGCCTCCAATATTTTAAAAGTCAATCCAGTAAAAACTAAGTTTATCTGTTTTCACAATCCGCTAAAACATGGTTTCATAGATAAGCCTTTCTATTAACGCGGGGTCGATAGTGTATCTGGCAGTAGTGTTCCTGTTCAATGGGTATGTGAGAATCGGCCCGGCATCACCGTGAAAGGACGCGGGAACAGGCTCTTTTCTTGGCGTGTTTGCGTTTGCACGTGTGCCCCGGTGTGTGGGTGAACCGGCGACGCTCGTCCGAGCTGGGGCAATGGACATTTTTGAGAAGAGAAGAAGACGAGGAGAGCGCGTGGTGGGACCTTTTTGAGAGATTCGAAAATTAGCTTGGCTTCTAAATAGACGTGTTTTCTTTCTCTCCTATCCGCGGAGTCCTGTCTGGTTTTCTCTTCCGTCAGCGACCATCAGCTGCCTCCGCCGTCGGGTCCCGGCGCAATCTCCAAGAAAGAACATCTTTACTGGGTAGGCAGCACAAAGTACAGTCGGGGACAAAAGTCCCCAGGACGCGCGAACTGCGGCTGAAACGCATTGTTCTGCCATCTGCCGGCAGGTAGCCTGGTTTCGAGATCACACAAAAGAGCATGCACGTCCGACTGTGCCTGCAAGCATGTGTGTTTTTCCGCTTTTCTGCGGCGCGGCGCCTAACTCGGAATCGGGCGCGTGGTACCGCCTTGGAGATGGCGCTTGCGGCTGATGAGCGTCTGCTACACATTCCGAAACTGGAGATATCACCCGCGGCATTGCGCCGCATTTCGCCGAGTCAGCGCATCTTGCTTTATAACCAGCTGAGCTTATCGCTCAGTTGAGCAGCCGTAACTCCTTGCTCCATAGGTGCCATGCCAGTAAGCGCTATCTCCGAAACGGTACCACGCGTCCGACTCCGAGTTAGGCGCCGCGACCCAGAAAAGCTGGAAAAGACACATGTTTGAAGGCACAGTAGGACGCGCATGCGCTTTTGTGTGATCTCGAAACCAGACGACCCGCCGGCAGATGGCAGAGCAATGCGTTTAAGTCGCAGCTCACGCGTCCTGGGGACTTTTGTCCCCGACCGTACATGGGTATTATTTTTAAAAGCAACATGTCCTGGATCAAGCAGTTAGCTTACATATGTCGTGTCTTACGGAATGTACCTTGTCTGTTATACAATGTTAGAGTTTTTGTTCCTTTCAGGTTAGAAAAATCCTCGTTCATGACTTGGCGTACAGTGTGCTAAGGTACGGTGTGACAGTGTTCACGCGCAGTGCAGGGCTGTGGCACGAGAAGGTGAACGGTGTTTTGAAGTGTCTTTTAAAAACTCTGGTGTACAATTCAAGCTATTGAAATAGCATGAATCTCTCCACCGATCTAGAGATGTCAATTTTTTTTTCCTCTGTACCAACAAACAGTAATTCTTCGGTACTTTTGGACGGACAGCTACAAGATCCCACATGCGTCGTCTCGTATTCTTAGACAGTCGATCAGATTTGAAATACCACGCTGTTTTAAAAGATACGGAATGAAAACGCGAGACTACTACGTTCCAGACATTTTCAATCGGCTACCCGATTGTGTATTTTCCCAGGATTCCAAGACGAAAGTTAAGTCATGGCTCCGCGCATATATGCCGGACGCAGTGTAAACACTTTAAAAAGTTTTATTTCTTTATTTTTTTTTTGCGGGGGGGGGGGGGGGGGGGAGGGCGGGGGGATAACCAAGCAGGCTTTGAATCAGCCTTTATTCTAGTTGAGTTGAGTTGGTGTGTGTGTGTGTGTGTGTGTGTGTGTATAGTACCTTTTGTTGATTATATTTCCACCTCTTTTGTGTTCACTCGCACTTGGCGACTTCCAGGGCCCCGCCGCACAAGCCATCATAGGCTTTGACGGGCCCGTAAAAACATTTGTACCTTAACGTTGACAATAAAATTATTATTATTATTATTATTATTATTATTATTATTATTATTATTATTATTATTATTATTATTATTAGGCAGAGTACGAATAATAAAATGACAAAAAAAACGATGGCCTCATTGAGGTGTCTATTTTCTGTTATTCTTCTTTCTGGGGTTTATTATGAATGGCATTCACCAGATCGCCGGCGTTTTCCCTTTTCCTTATCTAACTTTTTCATATCCTTTGCTCCTCCAGTGTTGCAAGCATTTTATTTTTTTTTATTATTTTTTTTTTTCTGGTTGAGGAACAAAGTCTTCATTGCATCTCCGAAGTCCAAGCTTCGGCCGCGCTTCATAGTCCGTTCCTCTGGCAGTACTTCACCAGAAGGAATATAAATTATTAACTGAACACTAAAGTATCAGCAAAAACTAAATTTATTGATATTAAGATTGACAGCCCAGGAAGACTGACCAAAAATATTAGACGATATGCAGCTCGCAGGTCACATCACATGAAATATCGGTCGTAGCCAAAGGCGCTTAAAAGACGCGAGGTTGTTTGAACTCAGAACGTGCAAAACATGAAGTCGCGGTATAACAAAATTTATTTCGCACATTTGATATTTTTATTATATTAATGGTAAATATCCATATATTATCTCACTACTTATAGGCACAGTACTGTGGAAGCAATTGGAAGAGAGAGTGGGAAAGAAAGAGAGGAAAGCCACTTTTGCATGAATTTGGAGTGGCAGACTAATCTTCGAAGGAAAAAAAAAATCGACGTGTGGTTTATACAAAAAAAAAAAGAGAAATTAGAAAAAAAATTATTTTTCCCTTTTAATTTGGACAAGTTGTGCTCACACCCTTGCACCCTTCGCAGTGTTGTCCGCAACTTATAAGTCAAATTCTGCATATTTTGTATTAGCCAAAAATCTTTCTGGGAGACTTGCTTTTGAAAAAAAAATACTTCAAATGACAACGGTGAAAAGAAACATCTACAAAAATATAGCCGGCCTTCTTATCAACATTGATACATTAAACAACAAGAATTTTGGCGACATCGCAACTTCAGATCATAAATTTAGTTATTGATGCATTCGAATGCTAGCGTTCTCTGCGTGCTGTTTCGTTCTAGGTGAATTACAAGTGCCTAAGGCCGGACGGTCCTTCTCAATGACCAGAAACCAGAAAATGATCGCGGTACTTCTTGTATTGTTTCTACATTTTCTGCAGATTACGTCAGGAGGTAAGTATTTTTATTTCAATTTTGAAAATGAGCAATCAGAAGCCGCACAGTCGCGCATCCTGTCTCGGCCAGGTAACCGTTGATACTCAAACAAGACAATAAGAAGAAAAATCAAAGAATTTAATGGGCTGCCCCATCAGCTAACAAGCGACCGAAATTTTAAGTTCCGCCATCAGCTCAAAATCGACTGAACACGCAAAGGTTTGTCCGGTGTTAACCACGAAACACGGCGTGTCATCGGATACAATTCTAGAAACTTGGCCATGAATTTGTCCGTGGTTCCAGCAAAGCTTTTAATTTTGATGTGCTATTTAACTTTGAAATTATCCTTCAATCTTCCAATGACGGCTTCCTGATTCTACTTAAAACATTTCTGGAAATGTGTCGGATCACAACTGCAATATATAACTCTCCAGGGTTTGCTCTATTTTTGTTTGATATCAGAGGTGGCTCAACCCCCAGCACCATTGTTCGGTTGTAGAGAAAGGAAAATACCGCACAATATAAAAAAAAGTTAAGCATGCTTAATGTAATCCACATTTTGGAGAAATGTAGTGCGCATAGGCGAGATATCCTTGACCCTCCCAGGCTTGAGTTCTTGTGACAACAGAACCGTCATGTATAAAGTGTGGAAGAGCCTCTCTAGCCTCGTTTACGTTGCCCTTTTTCCGCGGAAAGAAACGTTTTGTTTTCCGTAAGGCAATCGATATTCTGACCAAACCGTCAAACCACCTAAGCATGTTAACACTAGAAAACATATGCAAGCATATCGACAAACGAAAAAGGCGCTGTTTATTTCGTGTACAAAATGAAGCATTAAAATAATTATGGCGTCGTCGCTTCGTGGGCCTATTTCTCCCTATTCATTTTTAATCTGTTGTTCTTCATGAAATAAGATTTGCTTATACGGTGTCGGATGCAACACCTACAGCACTTTACTCGGATGTATTCACTCAACAGGGCTGTCAGAGGCGCTGTGAAGATGTCGTAGAACTCGCCATCGTTAAATTAAAAAATCCTCTTTGTACTAATGATTCAAACTCAAACAAAATAAACTACCTAGCCATCACCACACAAAGCACACAGGCCTTCATGATGTGCCTGCAAACTCGTGAGGCCACCCAACTCAAAAGGCAACAAAATAACAACACAGAAACAACAGCGTTGAATACCGTTCTTCTCCGCAACGGTATTTGTTTTCTGGGAAGCAGGTAACATGAATTTTAGGCACAGAAATTAAGGTTTGTTTACTTCAGGTAGCACCGCGGTCCACGGTATAGTTTGCTAAGGTATGGAGCATGGCGACTCAGTGGTTCGCCTGAAGCGCGATATTTGTTCATCCCACAAAATTGCGACAAGATTGCTTGAAAATGCGACGAATCTACTTAAGTACTGTGGTCAAGCGGGTCGGGCGAGCTTTGTGGGGACTTCTTTTCTTCTTTACACTCAATCTTGGACTTTAACCTGCACAGATGCCCGCATAGGCAACAGCGTCCACCTGGGCCCGTTTTCTCGAACGCGAACCGTGGGTTAAAGTTAACTATATTCCCTAGAAGGGGGAATTCTAGGTCACGTGACTCGGAGAGCAGGGGCGCCGAGGGAGGAGCGGTACCTACAAGCAAAATGGCCACGACGTCGCTTAATGAGGGCTAATAGTTCTGCTTGGTTCTGCTGAACATGCATTTCGATCCGGCTGTTATATCAATGACGCACCATCAACCTATTAGCACGTCAAGCAAAGCGGTAGTTCAGAAGGACTACTAAACTAACCGACGGCAGCATTCCGCAAACGCATCACTCTTCAGCAGTCCGGGATCCAAGACATATGACGGTACAACAAGTCTTGCAAGAGCTTTTCATAGTGAGTAAAAAATGTTTTGCGAACGAGTGTTGGTATATATTCATACTAACACCTTTAATCTGTTACACAATGCATGCCAACTCGTGATTACTTTGCGGAGAAAGGGGGTTATCCTCGATAAAGTCTTCGTTCCGGGTGAACAGCTGGGACATTGTACTGTTTTTTTGTTCACAGTGCGCCGACAGTATTCCGACAGCATTGAGGTTTCTACATATCCCCGGTGGCCAGCAATTCAACGGTGACGAGAAGCTTAGCTTCTCGTCCTCGTTGGATCGGTTGGGCAAAAGGAAAAGGGGGCAAACAGTTGAGATCAGCAGGAATCGCAGAAACGTGCGTCGCAAGAAAGAAAAACGAGACTACAGCACTGGCGTTGCCAGACTGGAAGGCACACGCGAAAGTTATTTGTTCTTTATGGCGAAACATATTGAAGGAAATGTTTCTTACATTTTCGAATATTCGTCGACAAGCTCTAGCATAATAGCTAAAATTTCTTCGCACCATCTCAAGCAAATAAATTGTCTTCAAGTACAACATTACTATATTTTGACTTAAAATACTATATTAGATCGATAACAACTACCGGAAAAAGAGGATAAACAAAATGACTGGCTTGTTTCACCGATAGATGGCGCATCTTATTGCCTAATCAAAAATAATTATTGTTGTTCTATATCCAGCCGTTTATTACAGTTTCCTAGGCACTTTTTTCTTCCTAGGCACCGTGGTTTACAAAAATGGGTTTACCATCGCTTCGCGAAAAACCGCCCTGGGAAAAGGTGAATTATCAATACACAGTTAAAGGGGTCATGAAACGCTTTTCCAACTTTTTCCTGTTTCGCTTTCCTCCTCAACTCATAAATCCCGCATTCCACCAAACAGTTAAAGAAGACGAAAAGGGGGAGTCCCCTCTTGCTCGCACTCTCGTTTCTGTAATCCCGGACACATCCATTCTCCCCCTAGAAGATTAGCCCGTCGCTCAAAATTCAGACAAAAGTTGCTTTCCCCACCCCGTTCATTCCGAAGCTGACAGTGCTGTTGAAGCTACGTGCTCGTTGGGCCAGTCACACTTGCCACGTGAGCGTGGCAAATGTGGCTGCAGAGAATGAAGTCAGGTGATGAAAGGGAGGCGGCTGATTGGTCCGGCAAGCGCGTAGCTTCCACCACAATGTCAGCTTAGGGGTGAAGGGAATAAGTGAGGTCCGGTTGCGTGTGACGTCAGTTTGGACCCGATAACGCGCTTTTGGGACCGCGGATGTATCACAGTGAAAAGGCAGAGAGGTTGCGAAGGGGAGGAGGTACGAAATAGTCCGCTCTGTTTTCAAATTTTCGCACTGAATGTCAGGCTTTTGACTTTCTACCTTTTTTCTTTTGGTCCACTGAACGATGTGCTATTAGTAAAATCCCAATCTAAAATTATTTATCCCTACCCAAAAATCGTTTCATGGGCCCTTTAAGAGTTGAGCGTGTTGGTACATACTTCTAAATATATCAGCTTGAACTTTAAAGAGGAAAGGAAAGGATAGACAGCTCTCTGTCCTCTTTTTTACTTTCGACTTCGTGTTCAAGTATAGCTATAAAGTTTAATCTGATCTATCTACAAATAGGTCAGCTTGTTTTAACACTAGTTCCGATGAAAACACGTTATCACTTCAACTTAGGGGAAAACATTTTGACGATTAGTAAGACTACTTGACAGGTGTAAAGCGGATATGTTTGATAATGCAAATAATGCGAAGGGGCAAGCGGACTGGAAGAGAATAACTATAATAACATTTGGAAAATGGGAACACGGAGGACAAAGAACAAACACGACACCCCAAACACAGCGAGATGACTGGTGCACGACTGACAAAATCCGCCCTGGTGCTCCTATTATTTCAGGGACCTCTCCATTTTCAGTGGAGCGCTCTACCAACTGAGCTAACCAGAAGTTAGAAATCAGAAAAGCAAACGGGTTTCAACACCTGCCACAAGTCTAACACCGACAAGGGTGAACGCTTGCACCTTTGCATTATTTGCATTATCATCATAGCCTTAAAATGCAGGCCGTTCACCCTTGTTGGTGGTAGACTGCTGGCCGCTGTTAAAACCCGTTTGCTCTACTGGCGTCTAACTCCTGAATAGTTCAGCTGGTAGCTCGCTCCACTGGAAATAGAGAGGTCCCTGGTTCTATACCAGGACCATGCGGATTTTGCAGTCCCCCACCAGTCTCCTACCTGTGTTTAAAAATTTGTGTTTGTCCATCGTCCCCGTTGTTCTCAGTCTCCAGGAATTATTATTGTTACGGATATCTTTAACGTTTTACAAATACATACCGATACCCAACAACAGCCATTATTTAAGGACAACCTTCCTCTGTATACACCAACTCATGTTTACAAACAAACCGGAGCGCCCCTAGCGGACGCCACCGGCGCCGCGCATGCGCGGTGGACGGTGGGCAAGAAGCCCGCCGTCGCCCATAAACAAACCATTGAATTGCGTTGTTGTCGGCGTCGGTGGGAGTCTCCGTGCTCTTTTTCGCGCTGGAATTGTTGATTCTACGTCCTCCTAACAATGTCTGACTACTTGAGCGGCTGCAGCAAAACTAACGAGGCAAAACTTTGCGTGAATAATGTGACGTGCGGCGATTCATTTCACGTGGACGCCGCAGAATGGACGCTGAAGCCTGACTTCCACGATCAGATTCATATCACTATTTACAGTCGCGACGTCGCTCGGGCTGCAAAAGTGTGGACCGTAGCTGAGATGGTGGACGTCGATATTGAAAACCGCAAGTAGAATCCGGAATTACAAGTCGGTGACGGCCACTGGTAGCAATGATCAACATCTTCTTGTATCTACTGTTTCCACTTAGCCTAATTACCCCAACCAACCTTCAAAAGTGTTTTGAGGCATGCACTTACTTCTTATCTCAATTATCGGGTCAACGTTTGGTTTCCGGGCCGCTGTCATTTGAACGAGCTGACGACAAAAAACAGACAAGTTTGAAAGAGCAGACGACAGTTCGAACGGATGCGCAATGGAGTGCGGGCAAGAAGCACCGCGTCCCTCGTCAACAAACCATTCGAATGTCACGTTGTCGCCGTCTTTGTGAGTCTGCATATTCTTTTTCGAGTTGGAATTGTCGATTCTAGGTCCTCATAGCAGTGTCTTGCCATTTTAATCGCCTGAGCGAAATTATCAAGGTTCGTTACGCCGCTAAACTTTGCGTAAATAATTTGACGTGCGGCGATTCATTCGCATGAACGCCGCAGAATGGACGCCAAATTCATGCTGAGATTCTTCTAGCTATTTTGGTCGCAACGTCGTTCGCGCTGCAATAGTGTAGAACGTAGTGGTGATGATCGACGTCGATACTGAAAATCGGAAGCTGGAACACACCAAGCGTAACAAGTCGGTGTTGGCCACTGGTACCAAGGATCAACACCTTGTATCTACTGTTTTCACCGAATCAACTTAAGTCTTTTGAGGCCTGCAATTACTTCTTATTGCAATCACCGGGTCAAGGCTTGGTCTACGGCCGTTTTTGTTTGAACAAGCAGACGACAAAAAGCAGACAAGTCACACTTCCGAACGATCAGGCGGCCTTGTGAATTTGAAGACTCACTGAACCCGCGGGTAGTCCGGACAACTTGGCGGTTTTCTCTCGTTCATGTTGGAACACAACTACATCTGGCGAGCACCTAAGTGTTGCCAGCACAAGCAATCGTAGCTCGACAGCGTCTGGTTTGCCCTTGTAACGGCTACTATCCACGTTCTTGGACGAACGGAGGAGCAGAAACATATGAAAACTGATCTTCAACCCTTTCCAGACTCCCTTGGTACAGCCCCGTCGCAGCATTTTAACGAGAAGGCAGGTTTTTTGCCTGGTTTCTCCAAAAAGAACGCAGGAATGCATGTCTCGCACCGTGACTTCTGCCCGCCACCCCAGACCGGAAGTGCGACCGACGCGCCACCACCGCGGTGTGACGTAGAGTTCGTCTATAAAGTGCGAGATGTAACTTGGCATTTTCTGTCTTATAGTATCTACCGTCTACTTGCTATATTGTGGTTTTCGAATTCTCAAAATGTGTTTTCAATATTGCTGAATGTTTTTATTGGCAACTAACTCACACAGTGAGGATTCGCTGTTTTGATTAGATGATTTCCTGAAATATAAACTTTTGAAATAAAGTAGATAACTTGAATTTTACGTTAACTTGGATAGTACGTTAAAATAGATAACTTGAATTTTACAACACGTAAGAGTGTAGATCATGGGTGTAGTAAAACTCTGTTTCAAAAATATTTCATTTTTATTTTTTTTTATTTGCTAGGTATGTCAAACGTATAGTTTAAATTAATATAGACCACAAAATGCTACGGTTCTCGCCAAGCTAGTGTGAATGGAGAATTCGCTCACAATAACCACGTGGTCAGTTGATCACATGACGTCAGGGGCGTCATGGGTGCCTAGAATGACAACCTGCGAGCACGTGATTATGTAATCTCGCCAGGTGACGTCACATGGCGCTCCATTTTTGACGTTCTTTAGTGACATTACATCTCATTTGAAAATCACTGCAGAGCCAAATTCACTGTTAAAAGTCACCTCTAACCTAGATTAGGTAATCTTATACTTCATTTGTAAAAAACCCTTCATAACCAATATTTCATATATCTTACTCGAACTTCAGCCGAGAAATCAAGAACGAGAATTCAATAGGGAAAGCAATCTTGAGGGCAGTGATTAGGTTTTCTACTACTGAAGCAGTTCACGCGCGGGTCAGACCTGTTTATAGAGATAGGTGTGCATTCGCAGAAGTCCGCTCCTAATGACACTATTTTTTTAAATGCAGGTGGCCCGATTATTACGGGAGACTTTGGTAACCTCGCACCACAATGTGAAGAATTTGCTAAAACTTATATTAAAGCGCTTCCTGATTTAAAAGAGGTAAGTTACCTAGAATACTGTGCATACTTACAAAAACAAAATTGTTGACCAGGCATAAAATATTTTGTGCAGACAACTTATGCATCTTCACTCAATAATGAAGTTTGCCAAATGCATATTAGTCACTAACCTTTCGCTCTTGTCGTGTCCATTAGGCTTTGCTAAAAATCTCTGGTGTCACGATTCCGTTACTATCTGGGGATGTTAGGGAATCCAGAAGAAAATCTTCCCCAGATAAAGCTTTTTAACCAACCATCGTCTTAAATACCGCTTTCCCGGAGCGAAGTAACGCGGTATAACCATGACGGTGGATTCAAATGTATCTTTCATTGCACATTTTTTTTAGAACACGCTGCGTTAGAAAATGGTGTACGTCAAGGAAATAACGATGCTAAGACAGCAAAACTCACGAGCGACTCATTTGATTTATTTAGTTAAGGGGAATTCACCCACTTGTCACTCAATGACAAACTTTCGCTACAGAAAAGGGAGTTCAAAAATGCACTAGAGTACTGACTCTACTTAAGGTTCATTATGAAGACGTAGAGAAGGTCGTACAACACTTCGATTCCAGCCTGGAGGCGCTGGAGGTTTCAAATTTTGAAATATTGCCGTCTTAACCGTTAGAGGTAATTTTGAGGCAATTTTGAAATTCAATTTATTTAGAAGATAAACGTGACAAAACGTGGTTGCACATTCAAGAACTATTTCCTATCTTAATTTTAAGACCCTGATGAGCAGACTAAATCTTTTAGTATTCTCGAATTTTCGTAAATAAAATTCACACAACAGTTTTGCTACATTTATTTTGAGTAAGTTTAACGACATGGCGAGACCAAATGCCCCAAGACAAAGCATTTTCGTTTTTTTATTGAGCTTGAACAAACAGCCGCTCGCTGGACGCGTTGTTTACCTGACAACGCCGAATTCGATAAGTTTTCCCGGAGATCCATCCGTGTGCAATTTTTCCCTACTGCATCATATAAAAGTAAGGACAGTAAGAGGAGACATATGTATAACCTAGTGATGCCATAGCAAGGCGCAATATACCACCGCCGCCTTCACTTTCAAATGTAGAGTGACCGTGTCCGATGTCCCGAACTATGCAGCCAAACCCGCCATAAGGACGTGCCACATGACCTCGCGCTCCATGGGTCTCTAGGCCAGAACGAAAAGTTACATGCGCTAAGGAAAGCTCCTTGGTGTGTTTGTTTGCCCTGCAAGCGGCATAAAATCATCAAATACGCCAAAGCAGGAAGTCCGTGCCTCGTGTGACCCTTGGAAGCAAATGGCTGCGCAGTAGTAAATTAGCGTTGATGGAGCTGCCCTACCGGCCCCTCAAAACAAATTTCAGTGCGGTACTCAGTCGTGGTCTTGCTCTAAACGTTTCCCGCATTCGCCAAAAATGCTTTTTGGAATCTGTAAGAAACGTCAAACGTGAAGTTTATCTATTGGCTTTAGCTCACAGCGCTGGTTTGGCTTCGCTGGCTTCTATCACCGGCTTGAGACCTCGGTCATTTTCTGGCCCACCTTGCGTTTGCAAAAAACATGGACTGTGTGCATATCTGAGGATAAATGCTCAGGCCATATTCCGCTTAATCATCTATCCATGGAGAAACACAATTTTGTTTTTTTGTGTTCGCTGCGTGAACCAAGGTGGGCGATGATGGTCCCGCGACAACCATGAGCAAGGTAATCAAACTCAGCTATTTTGTTTCACGGCGTCGCGTAGCTCGAAAGGCAGGAAGACGCAAGTTCGGCCGAGTTAGTTCTTGGCTTCGACGTAATGACCTTTCACAATGCCGGTGTACATACATTTTGCTTGTTATTGCCAAGAAAAATTAAAGCGGTAGTTCACGGGTTACGCTGCAAAATGTAGCTGCCCACCGCCAGAGCGACCACAACGTGACAGTGTGACATCCGTTCAGGTAATAGAAACACTGCATCGTCTCATCGTCTCAGACATGCCTCTGAACAAATTCGTCAACGGTACCTCATCACACTCGAATAGCGCGAACTAACTAATTGGACCCGAGCCCGACCAGTTGCCTGGACACGACATTGAGGTGAATGCTGACACAGGGCTCGTGTCCATTATCAAGGAGCGGATCAGATCGTGGCGCCCCAAGCGGCTAACTTTAAAACTACACCGATGGGGACTTTAAAAAAACAATGACTCAGCGCTCGGCTAATTAACCGAACGGCGCGTCAGCGTTAGGCTGGAGTTCGTGTTCTCCGGTCGCCTGAGGTGGGGAGGGGCTCTTTTGTTACCACTCCGGTTTGCAGGAACAATGTAACATGCACGGTGCATATCCCTAGGCCACCACAAAGGCGAAGTGGGTCAAGCTCGCCTTCTCTGACGACTCCTTTTTGAAGAGATCCGGCACTAACAATAAACGTCACTTCGTTTATTTTTCGTATTTTTACGTTAAGACGTGAGCATGCCAACAAGGCCTGTCGGCATATTCACAGGCCTTGTGCTGAATAAACACCCAGGTGTGTGGACAACAAACGGGTCAGAGCGCCCCCTTTAGTTCAATCTCCTCGCAAATATTGAAAAGGATCATAGGAAATTTTTTTTCGGGCTGATGGTCTATTGTATTGTGGGGCAGTGATGTTCTGGGGCTGTGATGGCCTATTGTTTTGAAGGTGTGATGGTTTGATGGCTTGATAGTATAATGGTGTAATTGTTTGATGGCTTGATGCTCTGATGAACGGTTGTACTATGGGACATCTAACGGACTAATAGTTTATGGTCTGTTGGTCTGAGAGCCGCTATGAATTCATACTCTCGCATATGTACAACAAAAGAAGAATATTGCATTACAAGTATGAACTTTATTTTGACCCCATTAAATATTTCAAAAAACAGCATTTGAAGAGTTAGGATGGATACTTTCCGAAATCCCCGTGGCAACCTGAAAGCGAAATTTGAAATTTGTATTTTGGTTAGGGAATATTATGATTTATATTTAGATGTTGTGGAACGTTAAATTATTAAACCACAAAAACAAAATGGAATCAAAAGTGCGCTTAATCCCTTCGCTACTTTTGAGACTGTGACAACGTGCAACCTTAGCGGCGTCCGTTGCGTGGCTATCCACACTCTGTCCCTATCTTCCATGCTGGGCATGACGGCGTCGTGCAACAGCGTGCAATACACTAAAGCGCGAAACACATGCGCGTCAAAACTGTCGGATCCGGCGTGCGAACTGCCGGAAAGATGGTTGCTCCGAATCGCCGTACAAGACGCTTCGAGACACATGGCTTCCGAAGCCTCATGGCGTCGCTCCGTTCAGCTTCGCCCAGTTTCGGGTATTCCTCTACCGAATGGATGGATTGATGCTAAGGGCTGTATTTATAATGGACGGTAGCTCGCGCCACCTAGCCTAGATACGTAATCCCTTCTTTGTTTTTCTTACTTGAAAGCAAACGCAGTATTTTTATTACATTCTATTAAAGTGTGCGTGTGTGAAAATTTTCCGTGAGGTTACTTTTCCGCTCATCCCTTAATCGCGACGAACCACAGCGAGCCTTAGGAGCCATCCCAGCGAAGCGAGCACTGCGTACAAATCACGTGACTACGTACCGCGCGCATTGCTGCGTCTCTTCCGAATTTAATTTGACACTCACACGACCTTGGAGTGGCTCACACCCTCCGCTGCTGTCCATCCTAAGGTGAAACGGAGTATAGACCTTTTCTGCAAGTGCGCCGCCATCTTGAATTCACGTCACTTCCAGTATGGGCAAAAACATTGTTTTGCCTTTGCCACGCCCATAGAAGGCATTTAGGATAATAGCGTAAACGTCACACTTTGTCTTTTTGCCTCCCCTTCATTTTTTTACTACTTGCAGGTTGAAACGTTGGATTATTTTTTCGTCGCCCATACCGGATACGCCTATCAGGTGGCTGGAGACGAGAGTACACAGAAAAGGTCTATAGACCTTTTCCGCTTACTTTCGCCCCCGACCGCCAAGTATGGGCGACGAAAAAATATCAGAACGTTTCAACCTGCAAATAGTAAAAAAATGAAGGGGAGACAAAACGGGAATGTGTGACGTTTACGTTTTTGTCCTAAACGCCTTCTATTGGCATGGTGACGGCAAAACAATGTTTTCGCCCATACTGGAAGTGACGAAAATTCGAGATGGCGGCGCCCTTGCAAAAAACGACGGCCTTGATCGGTCCCAGAAGGCAGGCTCGCTATGGCGCGAAATCAGCAGCTCGTTTTCTGCGCGCGGGGAAGCTCCGATGGCGTTCATTTCTTTCACAAAGACGACTCGCGTCGCGTGACGCACCGCGCGCAGCCGCATCCGCTTCCCCGTGACACGGAGCGCCTCCTCGCCCGATCGGTCCGAAATTCATGTGACAACATGACCTGCGCACCATCCGTGCTGCCATTGGCTGCGGCCCTTCAAAAATCGGACAGCGGTGCGGTGATATCTGGCAAGTTGGACGCACGCCGGCGCCGGACGGAGCCCGCGTTTGACGCTCCGGTGCAACGAAAACCCTCACCTCCGAACGTCGTTCCGGCGGTTCACACGTCGGATCGGACATTTTTGACGCGCATGTGTCTCGCGCTTAAAGCGCGAAACACATGTACGACGAAACCTTCCGATCCGACGTGCGGACTGCCGGAATGACCTTGGGGGGAGAGGGTTTTCGTAGCATCGGAGCAACAGATCGGAGAGCGTTGGAAACCCCCGCTTCCGACCGTCGTATTGCGCGGTCGGACGTCGAATCGGACGGTTTCGTCGTACATGTGTTTCGCGCTTAAAGCGCGAGACACATGCGAGGAAAATCCATCCGATCTGACGTCCGATCCGGCTGTACGACTGCCTGATCCGAAAACTTTGGTCGCTTCAGACGTCGGATCGGCGATCCGGCGTGCGTCCAACGTGCCAGATAGTTTCGCACGGCGAACGGACTGTCGGAAGCGTCCAACCAATGACAGCGCAGCTAGCGCGAACGTCATAATGACGTACTGGGTCTGGTGGGA